CGGGGGCGGGGGCGGGGCTGGGGTGGGCAACACTGTCACAACTCAGGCATCAGCTCAGCAATTTGCGCTGAGCGCTTTCCCTGTGTCTCCCCCTGCAGACGGGTCGTCCAGCCTGAGAGCCGGAGCACTTCCCTTTAATTCACTCCATTCACTCCTTCATCCACCCACCCATCCATCCATCCATCCATCCTTCAACACATTTTTACTGAGCCCCTACTATGTGGCTGAGGCCCTGGGGACATAATGGTGAACAAAAGCAGTCAGGATCCTATTCTGTGGAGTCAGGGGACTGGCATCTGCTGCCATGAGGGACAACTAACCTGGTCAGGGAGAGCCTGGGACACCTATGTGTCCTCAGCACCTGGCTTAGGCTCTGAAGCATAGTAAACCCTCCATAGTTATTTGTTGTTGAAATCTATTAATATATAAAAAAGAACAGTAAGAGTCACAGTTCTGAGAGTCCACTGCACAAAGGTAGGCTTTTTAGTAGATGATTGGATGCTCACAGACATCCCATGGACAGGTGCTGTTAGCCTCATCACACGCTATTTACAGAGGGAGAAGGAAGAGGGGATGTTCAGCTACTATTTTCACATTTAGATTTAACCCCGGGGACAGAACTGCTGAACCTTCATCCTGCAGGGCCCAGTTCATTGCCCACTCCTCCAGGGAGCCCTCCCTGACCACCTGAGTCCAGTGAAATCCCCTCTTCTCCACCACACTCACTCAGCACTTAGACCCAACAGTGTCCTGTTCAGTACTTCTTTGTGTACCTGATTTTCTTCTTAAAAATGCATATTTTAATAACCAAGTAATGTCACTGCTTGACACAGTAACACATTCAAAGAACACAGAAAGGCATAAAGTAAAACAAGATACTCCCTTCTCCTGACTCTGCTCCCCAGCTTTACACAACTACAAACGTGCATTTAAAAAAATTTACAAGCATTAGATCACGCTGAACACACTGGTGCTGCAACTTGCCTTTTCCTGTTTAATTTATTCCAGATACAGTTCCACCCACAGAACAAACCCAGTCCTATTTACCTGCATTATATGCATTTCTTTCCCTATTGTATTTTCCCTCTTGCTCCCTCCCTCCACTCGTAGGAACCAATTTTAAATTAGTCTTTGGTTTATCCTCCCAGCAGTGCTTTTTACAATTTTTTCAAGTGTACATTTTCTCCCCTTCTATTGAATGGTAGCAGACCATATACTGTTGCGCACATCACTTTTTTTTTTCTCACTGAGCAATACATTGCAGGGATTTCTCCATCCAGTGCAGAGGAGTCCTGCATGTACCTTCTCCCAGCTCCATACCATTTGGCTGTGCAAATGTACTGTGGTTTATTCAACTAAAACCGGAGCCCTATTTGATGGGCACATGGCGTGTTTCCAGTCTTTTGCAATGAAAAGAATGCCACAATGAATAACCTCGTACAAACATGATTTTCTATTTCTGCCAGTGAATATTTGGGACAGATTCCTAGAAATGGGATTGCTGGGCCAGTAAGTAAAATGCTAGGTGTGGCCAAATTCCCCCATGAGGCTTCCTAGCATCGGTGAGTGGGGAGGCCTCTTTTGGCCACAGTTGAGCCAACAGAGCATATTGTCAGCCTTCTGGATTTTGGTCCATACCTTGTATTTTTGCTCCCCTAGTTACACATTCTCTTTATACATCTTATGGTCTTCACACGGTGCTGGCTGGTTGTGCAGCTGAGCATTAGAACATTCCAGGCCCAGCCACGGATACCACTCAGTCCTCGCTTTTGAACAAGCTCCCACGTCTGCAGGGTTGTGTCAGTAATTTAGCCTCCAGTTGAACCAACTGATTTAATTGGAGGCTAAATTGTTCCGTGAGACTGGTAAATGTTTGCGTGGAGCGTATGAGGGTGTCAGGCAGGAATCAGGGATGGTGCCCGGGAAAAGATGACCTTCCAGCTGGGTTTGGACCTGTGGTTCTCAACCAAGCACAGTTTTGCCTCCAGGGGGCATCTGGCAATGTCTGGACATTTTTGATGGTCAGGACTGGAGAGGGGGTGTTACTAGGATCAAATGGGTAGAGGCTGGGATGCAGCTAAGTACACTTCAGCGCACAGGACAGGTCCCGCATCAGAGAATTACCTGGTTCACCATGTCCACAGGGCTGAGGGTCAGAGGCCCTGGTTTGGAGGGAGGACCAGGAGTTGAGGTTCAGTACTTTTCCCCTTTGGGAAGTACTGCAAACACACGAGATGTATGTGGGGGTGGGGTAGGCGGTGGCAGGTTCTGGAACGCGGAGCAGCCCCATGCGAGCTGGCCTTGTCTCCTGGACCGACTTCAGTCTTCACTCCTCACCCCTTTCCTCCACGAAAAGGCGAAGATGGATGAGAATGTCTGGTGCCTGGGAATGTCTCTCCACCCCCTGCCCCCCATCCCCTTGAGCGGGAAGAAACCTTAAACCGAAATAACAGGGGCCGTGTGCTGAAAACCTGTGTGATCAAGAGCCCGAGAGCCGATGGAAGCTTCTGGAACACCAGTCACTGCGAGTCGATTTCCGCCCCCCTTCAGGCAATGCTGCTTGGGCACAAACCCAACGCAGGAGGCATTGCAGCCAAAAAAGGAGACTTTTTCGGGAAATTTCTGAACAATGCAAAACTGAGGGTGTTTAAATGAAAACCATTTTGCAACCTTGGCACCGCCAAGTGGGCGCCGGAAGAAACAACTCTGCTCTTTGGCCAAACTGCGTGGTACTTGGAGCTGAAACCCTCATGCAAAGGCATTTACTCTTCCCTCCCCACTGCCAACCCCAGGCCCCATCTCCACCCCACCCCTGGCACCAGCTGGTCTCCACTGATCTGGAGGCACATCTTTCCGGGGTTCTCATCAAGGCAGCTCTGATGGGACGCACTCAACAAAAGTTGGTTTTGAGTTGGGGGTGGGGGGCAAACACTCCATATACCTCCATCCACTGAATCCCAGCATCCACTCTACGAGGCGTTACCCCATTTCACACACAGGAATACTGAGGCTCTGAGGGGCTTGCCTAAGATCACGCTGCTGGGACTGGAATCCGTGTCTGTAGGAAGGCTCAGCGGGCCCAGGGTGTCAGCCTGTCTCTGTCGGGGTCACCTCCCTCATCCACCTCGCTCCCAGGGAAGGTGACGCGAGGGTCTGTCACACTCTCTGAACCAGCTCTGGGAGACGCCATGGGGAGGGGACCATGGGGTCTCCAGGTCCATGTCATCTCACTGGTGTGGAAATAACCCCGAGTCTCCGTGGCTCTGGGAAGGGTGCCCCTGGGAGAAAGACCTCACCTCTGGGAGCCATGAGGGACAGTGGCTTGCGAAGGTCACACCAAGCTCCTGGAGGAGCCGAGTTTAACTCAGTGCCAAGGGCACAGTGATTGCTTGATCAGTGCTCACCGCTCTTAGCATTCTTGCTTGTGTGCAACGTGCTTCACACCTGAAAATAAGGATCTTTCTCCCTCAGCCCAGCCTACAGTAGGAAGATGGGTCCCTGCTGTGCCAGAGGCTGAGGAGAGGTAGCCAAGGTTGAGGAAGACTCAGGCAGTGTCTTGGAGGTGACCCAGGATTCAAACCCACAGCTTTGGACTCAGCCAAGCTCTGGGGCTGGGTTCTGCTTCTCAGCAGATGTGCCGTTACCCTGAGTTCCTGAATCACCTCCTGAGAAATATATTGTGGTGGGCGTGTGTCCTTTGGGGGCTTCACACTGGAGCTTCAAGCAGTTGGAAAATAAACAAATACTCTCTGAGGCACAGGCCAGTGAGCGCTGGGGCCCGCTCTGTCCAAGTCGGGCTGTGCCCAAAGTTGCCGTTTGTTCAGGAAAAGTTTTGCTTTCCTCTGGGACAAGAAAAGAAGGCCTGAAACCACCTCCATTTACACCGGCTGTTTAGATGCAATTGGGAGGGGCTGAATCAGGGAAGAGTAAACAGACTCAGATGAGGGAGGCAGACCGCGCTCTCTCTCTCTTAAAACCAAAATTACTTCGTCTCCGATTACGTTACGATGAAAAAAAAGTGACTGGGGCACAGTTTTCTGCCATTAAATTATTTCACACATACCATTTATTTGGCTGACTTCAGGCCAAAGACATTTAAAAACTCTGCTCTCAGCCAAGTGATCAAGTGTTCCTGGCTCTTTCCTGCACCCATGGTTTTTCTTATTCCGTGTAATTTAAGGGTCTAAATAGTCTGGAGGGAATTAACTGCAAATTCTTCCTAAGACAAATAAACCCAGCCTCTTCGTTCCTGCCTTTCTCAAGCTGTTGAGAGACACTCTCAGTTTGTTTTTGCTTCAAATAGTCAGTTTGCGCCTGACCCTGGGGCCACGGTGAGCTCCAACCCAAATAAATAACTTTTATTAATTAGCATTTATTCTGACCAAATAAGCAGCCTCCCCCACCCCCAAATGTGATCTCTGCCAACGCGTTCACAAAAATAAACAACGGGTCCCCAGGACCTTGATGTGGATTTAACAAATTAACACTGGGCCTTGGTCAAAGGAGCTTCGAAGCTGCAGAAATATTTACAGCCAGAAAAGGCTGAGGAAGGAAGTGGAGGTTGGGGGTGCAGAGAGGCCGCCCCCCTGCCGCCAACATTCAGGTCTCTTGGTAGAGACGT